TTATGATACGGATATTATATGATTCAAATACCTTAAAACACAACCTCTTGAGTGTATTAAGCACCTCTAGATTTACCCGAAAATACGGCTGACAACATCCTTGATCCGTTTAACTTCTAATACTTGTTAACCACCCTTATACACCTTTGTATCATTTAAGACCAATAGGATTAACTTCTTATCATATTAAAGATAATCTCTTCATGGATTTACGTCGACTACTTTATGGCATGAACTAACGTACGTGAATATGGGTTGTAACACAGTCGTCCTGAGAATTCGGGTTTATGGATTATATTTCGCAATGGGTAAGTTGTCGCAACACATATAGGATGGCACTGAAAATACGATTTCAGTTTCTTAGAGGCGCTTAGAAAAGCGATGCCTATTTTTGTAAATGAAGGTATCTAGTTTCGGCCTCACCTAAGGTCCTGCTAACATAATAAATTGGAAATTGCGTACCTTGTTCCTCCCGAACTAGGACTCCACTTACCGCTATCTCCAATACTGCCAAGTACAGGTATAGTTGTTCGTCTGCCTTCATTGTGTGGAGCAGTGGCAGGCTTGATAGATATCGCTTAAGTTCTTCCAAAGCCCGTTGGCATTCTGGAGTCCATGTGAAGCTGTTTTTCTTCTTCAATAACAAGAAAAATCGGTGACTCTTATAGGAGGACCTCGAGATGAATCGCCACAGGGTTGCAATGCGCTTTGCACGGCCTTCACATTGTTCACTACTGTGATATCCTCGATAGCTTTGATCTTGTTGGGGTTGATCTCGATTCCTTGGTTGGATATCATAAACCCAAGAAATTTACCTGATCCGACTCTGAACGCACATTTCTCCGGATTCAACTTCATGTTGTACTTCTTCAATATACTGAAGGTTTCCTGCAAATGCTTTAAATGGTCATCTACGCGCAGAGACTTAACCAACATATCGTCAATGTAAACTTCCATGGATTTCCTTATTTATTCTTCGAACATTCGGTCTATTAGGAGTTGGTAATTGGCACCGGCGTTTTTTAATCCAAATGGAATCACATTATAGCAATATGTGCCATACTTAGTGATGAAATAAGTCTTTTCTTGATCATCCGGGTTCATTCGTATTTGGTTGTTCCCGGAGTAGGCATCGAGAAAACTGAGGATCTCGTGGCCGGCTGTGGCACCGATCATGCGATCGATATTGGGCAAAGGGAAAGAGTCCTTGAGACATGCCTTACTTAAATCTTTATAATCTACATACATTCTCAGTTTGTTCCCCTTTTTAGGGACTACTACTACGTTTTCTAACCATCCCGATTATTTGATTTCCTGAATGGACCCTATTTTAAGGAGCTTAGTTACCTCGTCCTTGATGAAAACATGTTTGATCTCGGACTAGGATCTCTTTTTCTGCTTGACCAGGTGGAATTTCGGGTGCAGGCTCAGCTTGTGAGTGGTTATCTTCGGTGGGATCCCTGTCATGTCGAGATGGGACCAAGCAAAACAATCTATGTTAACTATGAGAAATTGAATGAGTTTTTTTTAAGCTCGAAGGTTAACCCTGTGCCCAGGTATACCTTCCAATCGGGTAGATGTTCGATCAATGTGACTTGCTCCAGCTCTTCGACAGTTAATTTTGTGGCATTGGAATCATTGGGTACTATAAAAGATCTAGGAACCCCGTAATCATCATCTTCATCGGTCCCATGTTTATCCGATTGGGTCGTGGCTGGTGTCGATAATTGTAATTTAGTTTCCTTCTTTGTGTTCGAACTTGGTTCCTTCGATGTCGTCAGTGTTGATACCGGAATCATTTCTTCGACTGCAAACATTTCCTTTGCGGCTGGTTGCTCCTCGTAGATCATTTTGATCCCTCCTGGCTTTGAGAATTTTAACACCTGGTGAAAGGTCGAGGGCACTACCCTCATGTTGTGGATCCATGGCCTCCCGAACAGGGCGTTGTACCTCATTTCCCATTCGATCACATAAAACTTGGTTTCCTAGACGATCCCAACGGCGTTCACTAGTAATGTTATTTCTCCCTTAGTAGTTTCACAAGCCATGTTGAACTCGTTTAGCACTCAGGATGCATGCACGATTTGGTCCTATTGGCCGAGTTGTTCTACGACTCTCGGTCGAATGATGTTGGCCGAGCTACCTAGATCAATTAACACATGTTTAACTCGAGATTTATTCATGAGTACAGATATTACCAGTGCATCGCTATGGGGCTGCATGATTCCTTCTGTGTCCTCGTCGTTGAAAGACAAAGTTCCTTCTGGTATGTAATCTCGAGTCTGTTTCTCCCTTGTGATGGATACTTTGGTGCGCTTTAACATTGGGCCTTGAGGAACAGCGACCCCTCCGATGATCATGTGAATGACGTGTTGAGGTTCTTCTTGCTTTGTTTGTTTATTAGAGTCCCTATTTCTAAAATGATTCTTGGCTCGGTCACTCAGGAATTCTCAAAGATGCCCGTTGTTGAATAACCGGGCTACCTCCTCCCTCAACTGCCGGCAATCCTCTATTCTGTGGCCGTGAGTGCCATGATATTTGCACATTTGGTTTGGATCCCTTTGGGTTGGGTCGGATTGTAGAGGTCGAGTCCATTTGGTATCTTTGATGCATCCGATAGCCGATACGATAGCAGCAGCATCAACGTTAAAGTTATACTCTGACAACCTCGTTGCTTTTTTGGGTCTGATAGGCCTATCAAAACCATTCTTCCTCATGAGTCCCCCATTGCTCTGTCCTCAATCATTTCTTCTTTCATTTTGTATAGAACTCCATCCAGACCTATTGTTTCTTCGATCCTCATTGTACGGCTAATATCGATCCTTGTTCGACCTTGGTTCACGATCAATATCCCTCTTGACTCTATCGACAGGTCTAACAGGATAAACGGACCCGGAATGAGCCCCCCAGTTGATCATCTTCGACTCTGATCTTCGATTGATATCGGTTATGCATATTAGCCCAAGTGATAGTCGGATATTCTATTAGATTTTGCTTCAATTGCTGTGAAGCCACAAAATTTCGAACATTGAGTCCTTAGGTAAAAGCTTGAACGGCCCAATTATCAGCGACCGGTGGCAGATCCATCCATTCCATTTGAAATCGAGATACGAACTCTCTGAGCATTTCATTATCCTTTTGCCTCACTTTGAAGAGGTCTGATTTCCTGGTTTCGACCTTGATAGCCCCAGCGTGTGTTTTCACAAAAGAGTCTGCAAGCATAGCAAATGAGTCAATAGAATTAGGGGTAAGTTGTGATACCATATCATGGCTCCCTTTGACATGGTTTCTCCGAATTTCTTCAGTAAGACAGACTCGTTCTCATTATCCTCCAAGTCGTTTCCTTTGATGGCGCATGTGTATAAAGTGACGTGCTCGTTTGGGTCAGTCGTTCCGTTGTACATAAGAATCTCGGGCATACAAAATTTTTTAGGGATCAACTTCGGAGCCGCGCTCGGAGGGAAAGGTTTTTGTACAAACTTCTTGGAATCCAAGCCTTTTAATACCAGCGGCGCTCCCGGGATTTGGTTGACCCTAGAATTGTAGGTTTCCACCTTTTTGTCATTTGCTTCGATTTTCTTTTCTCCTGATTCTGTTCGTTTTGTCAGCTCCTCTGGCATATTCATGGTCTCGGGGTTGTTACCTAATTCATTCTCGCTCGAACTTTTTGCGACCGGTTCCTCCCTGCGAGTGATCTCTCGAGACGGGTCGGTCTCAATCCTGCTCAATACGTGGCTCTGGTTTTGCAACTGAGCTATTGCTGCCTGTTGAGCCTGCAACATTTCGAAGATCATCTGTAGATTGACCATGTCTCCTTCATTGTTTTGAGTATTCTGTGTTGTCGACCGGGCTCCACCATGGACGCTATTCTCGGGGTTAGTAGGGAGGCTTGTGTCGATAGCCACATGCGAATTAGCGTCCAATGGGCCCGCAATTGGAATTCCGACGGGATCAACGGGCGGTACCTCGTTACCGGGCGCTATGTTATTATTTTTACCGTGGTGACCAGATTCACCGTCAGTAGGTAGAGGTGCTAGTTGTGAGTTTGGCATTTTGAGCTTAAGCCTGAAATCAGAGACACTTCAAAGAACAAGTGAAAAATAGTGTGTTATGGCAATTAGTATCAAATAATCACTATTATCGTTAGCCCTACGGTGGACGCCAAACTGTTTATCCTCAAAATCGGATAGCAATTGAATTTATAAGTGGTTTTAAGGATACGTGGATTAATTTGATACAAAGCGATATATTAGATTATAAATATAGCAAACAATAACAAAATGACTTCAAAATGTGTGACTTCAACAATTATAGCCTTGAGAAAATAGACCTCACTCGAACTGAATATGATTCAAATGATGTCAAATATAGAAGAACAGTAGCTTGCAGAAAGAAAATAGTATTATAAAGCTTTTGGATGCATGTTACAATGTGTATTACAAAGAATCAGACTCCCCTTTATATAGTAGGGGAGTCTTGCTTTAGGTACAATTCTATAAAAGGTAAACAATCTCATGATTTGCTAATTAATCGGTTTCTTGTTGATACGTGCCGAAATTCCCGTCATGATATCCGACCGGTTGCGGATATTTCGGCCATCCGTTATTGGGTCCGATAATGTTTCCTCGAGCTTATTCGGAATCGGGGTCGGCTCCGGAGTCATGGGCTCGAAGATCTTAGGGACGTATGTTCTGACTTCGTACTTTGGTTTGATGAACCTGGGGTCGATCTTCAATCCATCATGTTTCGGTTTCAATCCGTCACGTAATAGATGAGCCCGATTTCGACCGTATACAATATTGATGGTAATTAGCAAATGTGATGATTATCTGTGAACGCGGGGCTGGTTTTGTCTGCATTCACTGGTACCCCATAAACGTGATTTAGTTGTTTGCTTATAATATAGCATCTAATAATTAAGGTCACGAAAGGGCATATTCTGTTTAGCAAGAAGTCAAGTTATTTATAACACAACAGTGCTAGATTATACTCGATGAAAGGATAGGAAAAAATAGTAGTAATAAAATGTAGTACTACTAGCTATGATGTATAGTTATGAATCTCGATCCAATTATTTTTTCCGTTATCTGACGTGATCCAGTGTCTCTTAGCCTCTACAAAGTTCTTTTCTTTGTCTGAGTTTCCGTTTCACTGCTGAAGTCAGAACAAGCCATGGATTGACAGAAAAACTGCGCCCCCCGCCCCACCAAATACATTAATTAGCAGATAAAACGGCCTTAGATTATTGCGTTAAACATATTGCACTTATCAGATCCCATTACAGAGGAAGTTCACCGCTGTCTGCAATGACAACTTTGCTTTTTGGTGTTCCACTTTGTCTTCCTTCAGCTTCAATCTTGTAAACGACATCCATTCCAGACAACACCTTCCCAAAGACAACATGCCGGCCATCCAACCTACATATAATCAAAAATCAGAAGTGCCCAAAAGATTATTGGAGAAAGGGTAGCTTATCAGAAGAGTAGTAAATCACAAGCAACTAGAATTTAAAGATGCAAACCAAAATTAACAAATATTCGAGATTTAATAACATGACACTGGTAGGTTCTTAATTGTAAATAGTTAAATGGTTAGTGGTCTAAGTAATCTGCATATGTTTTTCAAGAGTGATGGACTTACCAGCTAGTTGTGACAGTTGTGATGAAGAATTGTGAACCATTGGTGTCGGGACCAGCATTTGCCATTGACAAAAGCCCTGGAAATTATGCATGCAGGAGCAGTTTTACATGCATGACAATCGAGAATATAAAAGGCACTTTAACACAAGGAATAAATTCTACCTGGTCCAGTGTGCTTGATCTTGAAATTTTCATCAGCAAATTTTTCACCATAAATGGATTCACCTCCACGCCCATCACCAAGAGTGAAATCACCACCTTGAAGCATGAAACTGGGGATTATTCTATGGAATGTGCTCCCCTTGTAATGAAGAGGCTTGCCACTCTTTCCAACACCTTTCTCCCCTGCAATGTTGATTACCAGAGGAGAAAAACAAGATCAAGAATGTGAAGGTACAAGTATATGCAATCTGCATTTAACCATTCTCCTGAATCAGATAACAATATCTAAACCTTTTCTGCATTACCAGTCAGCTAAGAACCGAAAAAATAACTTGTAAGGCAAAACTGAAAACAAAGATGACAAGAAAAGAAATACAGGCAAGCACAAGCTTAATTGACCAACGCGTCTATAGGTTAAGTTGACCAATAGGGGTCCCGAACGGCAGGAGAATAAACTATGAAAATCTGGTAAAAGCACCTGTGCACAATGCTCTGAAGTTCTCTGCAAGAAAATAGAAAGATAGTTAATATCAGGAGTAGCAATGGTGAAACTTACAAGCTTTTTATATTGCCACCATACCTGCTGTTTTAGGAACTGTTTTACCAAAGAGACCCATAACAATACGACCTGAAAGAAAGCAGATACTTGAAAATCAAAACAAGGATGATAACACAATGGAGTTAGTAATGATACTACATGGAAAAGACATCTCCCTTAGGACATAAATAGGGAAGAACATTCTTTATGCGAGTCAAAAATCATTCCACGGAAAAATAATCTCAGATCCTACATTGTGTGTCAACATTTCCAATTTCTAAGAGGAAACAGCTGGATTCCAACATATTATGGATAAAGCATATACAAGAAGACATGATATTCCTAAGGAGCAAGAAACATGTCAAGGATACTTGTCAAATGTAATACAGTATTTATTTTATTTAACTTTACTGTTCTATCATTAACATGTGTGTCTGTGTGCAGATATTTGCTATGGAAATGATGAAAATATAATTATTGACATAGCAACATTTAATTACATAGTTTCATTTATTTGCATATCTTATATTATTGTCAATACCACAGTGGCGGCTGTCCTCCATCTTTCTTTTTTAATCAGGCTGACCGCCATCTTTCTTTAGTAACAAATATCTGATCCTGCCTGTCCCTTCCTTATCAGTTTTTAGACACTTTTCTAGTTTGTATGGCGCATGTGGATTGTAAATGCTTTTAGAGGGAAAAAATAAAAATGTATAATTTTGGGTATAAAACCAAATTAGATTTTTGAAAAGACACTCGAACAACTCAAAAAAAATTCAGGGGAACCAAAAATATTGTTTCCCAAAAACACCTACTTATTCCCAAAAAAATCCCATTTCTTTTAAGAGAACAATTCAGATCTGTCCAAACAGCATCTAAGACTCGAATTTTACTGTACATAGAGAGGGAGGAGACGAGAAAAAGTTGAATGCCAGAACAGAGAAGGGCTAAGAATACCCTGCTACTATTTTTTATTGTACTAGTATTAGTGTACGCGCGTTGCGCGTATACCAATATTAATGAGAATAAACTTTTTAATAACAATATAATTAATATAATATCTAAAAGATTTGTTTGTGTTATACCCCTTTTATTTTCACTGTCACGATTCAATTCTGAAGCCAAAGAATTTGATGGCTCCCATTCTTGATTAATAAGAATAATGAACGTTACATGACTCCTATAAAAACTTAAAAACTCTTATATGTAAATGATTTTTTTGGTTATTTAATTTGATTACATTCGGCTTACTTTTTAGTCGAGACGATACGAGGTGATTTTAATAGCCTTCAACTTCATAATAACTTTTCGACATAGAAATTTTTCTTATCGAGTGGGGCCAATCATTCGTATATGCATATACTTTGCGATCACTAAAATAACATTAATGTTGATAATATGTTTTACATATACCTTCTAATAAATGTTTTCTAATATGTATGCAGTAAAAAAAGTAAATTGATTGTTTTTTTGTACTATCAAGTATATATACTTGAATATTTTTAGTTTATTGGTCTGGAAGAAATTGACAAATAAGGGTACTTTTATAATTATCAAAACCAAAGCTACATATCAATGTGATGAGATTACTTCATATCAATAATATTTGGCTGAATACATACGGAGACACTTAAAGTTGGCACGATATTTCATTTAGACACCTAAACTCAAGGATGTTCCTATTGAATACTTATACTACCCGAAACTTATTCCAATTAAGCATTTCTTGCTGAGTTGGCACATAAAGTGAGTTTCACCCAATATAGGCGCGTGAAGAGACCCCAAAAAAATAGATTTTTTCTTTTTTTTTTTCTTTTTTATTTCCTTCTTCTCTCTAAAAAACAAAACAGATCTAAGGCAGTCCCCATCTCTTCACTGTCGGAATCCGGCGAGAGAAACCGGCGGCCTCATCCTCTCCAAAAAACCAACGATCCCCCTCTTCTTCTCCATTCTCACAGTCATTTTCTTCTTCAAAGCCAAAATTCTTGTAGGAGAAAATAGAGTTTCACCGGAAAATTTTTGGATTAGCTGTAATCATTTTCTTCTTCATGTGTTAAGAGACCCAAATCTGCCTTCGTCGTCTTCACCAAAAAATATTTGAGATCAACCCAACAAATGCACAAGTTTTTTAGGATTCAAGTAGTGAAATGGGATTTGGGGCGGGGGAGGGGGGGTTGGACTTTCTGGGTGTTATTGATTCCTCATCCTAATCCCGACAAGAAGATTCAAAGCACAAGTTTGGTGATTGAGTTTGTGTTCTTTATAAGTGTGATTAATAGAGTACTCTTTTGGTAACTTATTAGTTCAAATTTCAAAAGAAGATTGTGATTTTCATATGGTGATGGTTGGTACTGTAATTTTTATAGTGGTTGAAGAGGAAAGCAGGTATGGCAGGCAAAGGTGGCGGGCCAAGGTGGTTGTAGAAGTGATGTGGAAGATATGAGCAGGGAAAGGTGAAGGGTTTAGTCTGGAGCTAACATGAATTTTTATTGACGTGGCTTTCTCTCATTAATTACATTGCCATGTCAGCTACGTGAGTTTCACACGCTTATTATTTCCTGGGACTTAGTTTTTTGTGTTCAATCGGTACACTTCACAAATAGTTTGAGTGTCCAATAGGTAATAGGCTCAATTAAAGTGTCTAAATAAAAAATCATGTCAACTTTAAGTGTCTCCGTATGTATTCAGCCATAATATTTTGATTGACCAACTGGCTGATTGCTTCATGTATTATTACTTAATGTCTAGTCTTTAGGGCATGCTCCAAAATATATTATCAATAATATTTAAATAATGATAATTATTATATTTAAACAAGTACACCTTTATAAGAGTACTTCGTATCGAAACTGGCACGAACTTGTTGCTTTTTCTAACTTCGTGTGGAATTTATAGCTCTTGTAAATAATGAAATTTAATAAATAAATTTTAGTTAATTTTAAGACATCAAATTTTAGGAAAAGTAATATGACGAAGTTATAATTATGTTATACAGTTGGTATGAGGAAAATATTTAAATAAGGTAAAATCTTGATTTATTTTAAAGTCCTAAATTTTAGGACTTCTTATATATTTCAAATAAGAAAAATTTAATAATAAGATTTTAAAGTCCTAAATATTAAAAAACTAATTAAATTATAAGATTGTCAAATATGAAATAGCATCATAATTGTTAAACATTAATTTTTTCCTATTACAAAATTGATAATAAAAATATTGTTACAGTTAAGTAGAGGATTGTATTTGATTTTGTCCTTGAGATTGTGAATATACTAATGTTAAGATTATAAAATATTCTTGGCAAAAGGTAAGTGTTTACCTATGAAATCTCGTCTATGAGTGAGATAATAGTTTTTGATGATAATTCAAACTTTCCATATTTATATTGTATTTAATTGCCCACGCTCTGTAATTATTATGTAAGCTAAAATCATAGTGGAATATAAAGTCCCAAATATTAGGATCTCTCACATATTTTAAATAATGAAAGATTTAATTAGTAAAATTTTAATTGAATTAAAATTCCTAAATATTAGAAAGATAATTTAATGACTATTTTGTCTAGTGTGAACTCTATTTTTATAAGGGGTAAAAAGGACACAACATTTCGCTAAGGGCCTTCGTGCTTTTAATATAGTATAGATAAATGTGTCCCCGTTATACTATTTGTCCGCATTTACCCTTACGTTATCAAAGTTCTATATTTGCCCTCATTTTAAACGGCTTGACAGTTGACACGTGGAGGATTCTAATCAAAAGACCCGACTCATTTATTAAAAACTCAGCCCCATTAATCTAACCATAACCCCATCAGACCCCATTACCAAGTCTGATTCTCAGGCTCCTAGCATGCAAGCCTAAAGGTTTATGATCAATGTGGCCTACCTTTTCAACCCCATTGTTTCCATCGGCAACAATCACCATGGATTCACCAACAAAGTACTGAGAATTCCAAACTTGAGCTACTTCCCTCTCATTCAACGCATGCGTGGTTTCGACCCATTTGCATATGAAAAGGATCTACTTTTCTCACCTTCATTAAAATTAGACCTTTCTTGGGCCATGTACTCATAATTAAAGAACTGAGAATCCCAGTTTGGGATAACTCTTTTGTCATCAGACCCACAAAAAATTCTAGCCCCATTTTCATCTAAAAGATTATCTAACCTTTTCATCCTCAACAAGCTCAAAGCTTTTTTGGTTCCTACTTACATAATGCAAGATCTGAGAATCCCAATTTGGGATCACTCTTTTCTCATAAGACCCACAGAAATTTTCAAGCCCATCAAAGATTGAAGCTAAATTTGAAATGGGTGATTTATTAGAAGTGGGTGATTTTTGTTTGTGAATGGGGTTGGGTCGGTTATGGGTTAAATTACTGGGGCTGGGTTTTTAATCAATGGGTTGGTCTTGATTAGAAACCTCCATGTGTCAAGCCGTTTAAAATGAGGGCAAATTTAAATTTGCCTAATGGTAAGGTAAATGGGGACGGATCGTATAATGGGGGACATATTTAAACAATAGAAAATAGTAGAGGAGTATTTTTGGCCCTTTTCCGATGTTAAAAACATATCTATTGCTCAAAGTATCAACATTTCGTTGATGACCTTTTTGCTGAGAGAAGAATAAATAGTCTTATGTAACAAAATGCCATGAAGTCTACACAAGAGGAAGGATAGTATGCATAAATGTGGCCCTGGGTATCCACGTATGCAACCTAAGCATGAAAAGAGAAAAACACAATCCTCAAGTTCTTGGATAGATCAAGAGAGATGCAGATATATAGAGTTATTTTACTTATGCTTCACAGAAGATCCTCATTTGGGATGCTTTTTTTTAGCTTGCAAGATTAATATAGCAACTTTATGAAAAAGGAGGACTTATCGCCCTCTCCTCCCTCCCCACAAAAAAGAAAAAGGAAGACCGCACACATTTAAGTAGGATCAATTACGCAGTGACGAAAAACTGGCGAAATGACACCATTAACAAATAAACCATGTTTTTTGAAATGGTAAGTATTAACAAATCGACACTATATATGCACCTCATAAGCATAGGAGCTAAAATATAAAAAATAGGAAAGGGAAGAGACTTCTGAAACAAAACACATTATTGACAAATCATCTTTGTATCTTCACCATATAAACAAAGGACCTAAATTAAAGCAATATGAAGGAAAGGAACATACCCGCAAGTTTACCATCTATCTCAACGTCAAAGTAAACTTTGTGAGTTACTTCTTTCAGACTTTCCTGAGATTTAGCCTGCAGAGGATGCTTTCAGTAATAAAAGACTTTCTCCCTCTATTTGTCACAAAGACAAGAGCACACATATGCACACACATGGACATTGGCCCAACATAAACAAGGAAAGAGGAATGCCTAGGCCACCTTTTGAAATATGCCAAGCCATACGCCCATGTTACACCCAAAGGGAAATAGGAAAAAAGAAGTTGATATATTTTCACAAAAATCTTTATGCAGTAAACTTGAGTAGCATTTGATATCTGACAACGTGGCGGAGTCTAAATTTGTATTCTATTTAGCAACTATCTCTATTTATTTATTTTTTTGATAAAGTATTATTAATAAAAGTGTACCAAGAAAGTACACAAGATTACAAAACAGAGCAGACAACACCTACAAAAAGCACTCTATTACAAGATCCATCCATACTATCTAATAAACACCTATTCCACCAGAAAAACAGATTATGCATACATAAATTTTTGATACTAGAAATATTTTTTATTCTCAAAACAAACACTTTCTTTCTGTCAAATATCCAGAAAATGCATAGGGGAATGGTCCTCCAAAGCTACTTCTGGGACTTTGATATCTTTTTCCTCTGCCAGCTATCAATTAGACTCCTAATGTCCGAAGGCATAGCCCAAGTAACACCAAAAAGATTCAGGAAGAGCTCCCAGCATTGCTTAGCAACTTTGCAGTGAATAAAAAGATGATTTACTGACTCCAAACTTTCTTCACATAGACAACACCAACGCCTCTTCTCTGTAGATTATCTTGAGTTAAACAAGTTTCTCTGATAGCAACCCATAAAAAACAAGCCACTTTGATAGGTGCTTTGGTTCTAATTTAGCACTCAAATTTACAGCCTATGTTAAGCAAGCTCAATCACTACCAAATAGTTACTGTAAAGGTATTAACAAGATGAGTTGAGCTGAGCTAAGCCTTGCCTGTTCAAGCTAGGCTCCATATCACATAAGCTCAAAGGTTTGCCAAAACTTGTCCTGTACTATTCTTGCATGCTCAAGCTATAGTTCAACTCGACAACAATGGATCCATACAATTACTCATACCCGAACTTGTCCTAGTAAAACAAAATTCCTAATCAAATCAACATATATTACTTAAACTTGTTGGATGTTTCACAGGTCAACTAATTGTTTAAAGAGCCAAAAAAATTCTAAAAGAAGTTAGATTCTGCTGAAGAAGAAGGAAACTTTAGATTTCTCCTGTCTCTCGAACACCAATTGTCCCATTGCAAGCAAAGAAGAGGGAGAGGATAGCTATTGAAGTGGACTGAGGTTGATGGATGTTTCGAACTTTCCACCACCAGCAGTCTACAATGTGGCTGCAAAGGTAGGAAAGATCCAAGACAACTGAGGCTAAAGAGTGCCAGCTAATTAGCGATGGCAAATGCAAGGTTGTTCCAGAGTAGGAGGAGATCAATAATGATGGAGCCAGACCAGCATGCTGCAAGAAGACTTATGTGCAAAGAAAAAAAAACTAAAAGAAATGAAACTAAGTTTGTTCTTAAACTACACAAGTAGAACCAAGTCAGCGCGAGCTCAGCTGATTTAGTAATTGAGCTCGTGCTCAGCTTGTTCAAAAAATGAGCTCAGTTGGGATTTTACTAGTTAAAAAAATGCATCTACTTCCATCTGTATGATCCAGTACTTCTTATACCAATTTCTACCAGAATATAATCCGCAAAAGAACATAAAGGATCTATAGTAGCTCGAATGATTAAATATAGAAACCGTCTCAGTACTGATCAGCTGTATTACGATCCAAAAGCACAATGAAGATTCATAAAAATCGTTCCAACAGCAGTTTAGCAGCTGTATCAAATCTCCACTTAATAGGTAACGCGTATTGCTAAGTCTTAACAAGAATAACAGTTGAATTAATCAGTAACTCGCAGATCGATCCCTAAACTATACGATTACAGTTCTCTCTGATCATTCAATTTGTACATCGGATGAGGATTACAAATGGCAAACGAAATCCTAAAACGGCGTAAAGCCAGAGATAATATTATCAACAGGTAAATGCTTAGAAATTACGAACCTGAGCAAGAGCTAGGGTTCCGATCATCGCCATGCAGAGGATCAAAACGGACGGCTGTAATCTCGTCGTCGCCATCTTTGGCAGTGGATCCGGTGTAGAGAATCGTAGTTGAAGTTGGAGTGAGACTTGGAAACGGAGTGTCGGCTGCTGAGAGATATATTTATTGGGAGTGACATTAGCCAATGAGAAGATGCCACGTAGGCATAGTGAGGTGTTGCCACTGAAATTGGTTGAATAATTCTGGGCCAAACAAAGGAGTTGTGTAAAACTATGACGGCTACTCAGTTTTCGGATTGGTCATTAAAAAATAGTCACTATTTTGCTGCAACACTAAAAGTTCCAGCATAATATACTGGAGATCGGTGTCAACATAATATGTTGGATCGGTATATTATTTTGGAACTCCAATATATTATACTAGAGTATTTTTTCGTATTTTAAACAATATTTTTGTTCAGATTTATTTATACATAAAAAGTGGCTAAATTTTGATTATTTTTGAAACTGTGGTTATTTTTGAATGACCACTTATAAATATGGTTATTTTTAAATTTCTCCCGAGTTTAGCTACTCGAGCCCATACGTATCACTAAGCTGACAGGTGGGCCGGGCCGGGGCCTAAACTGGCCTCATGGGCCTGTCCTATGTGGGCTCGGGCTCCGTGGGACATGCTTAAACGGTCCCGGGCTTCGTGGGCTATTGGTAGGAACCGGATAGGGACCGAGACCACGAACTAATGATCCCGGGCTAAGTGGGCCAGTCTCGGGCTTATGTGGGCCTAAGAGGGCCTGACCCATTTTCTTTTAAAAAAAAATTATCTAAGGCATTTTCTTATAAATTATATGTATATATATATATATATATATATATATATATATTGTGAGCACGTGATTTTTTTCCTATATGAATCCTATAAAATCAAAGAAAATATATTTTTTCCAATTATTTGCCATTTTATAAGATTTTTATTAATTCTTTGCATTTTTGTGCACATTTAATTTTTATTTTAATCATGAAAAAATACCAAAATATCATGCATTGCATTTAGGATTTATTTTTACATTTTTAGAATTAACCGGTAATTATGTGTTTTATAGAAATTCGAAAATCACAAAAAATAGCTCTTTTTTTACATTTTTTGTCTTTTAATTTTTAGCTTATCGATTTTTCTCTCTTAATTTAGAATTAAGTATTGTTTATAATTTTTATAATTAGCTATTTAGTTTAATTTCACACTTTTGGATAATTTAGGATTTTTAATTTGTAGGATCTTAATTAAAAGAAAAGAAAAAATTAGAAAATAAAAGAAAGAATTGGAAAAAGTTTTGTCTTGTGAAATTTAGCCAATTCTCACCCAGCCCAGATCTGATCCAAAATTTCCCTTGACCCAAGCCCAATCTCCCTACCCAAACCCGCCTGACCTGACCCGCCTAGCCCAAGACCCCCCTCCACATAAAATAACCTAGTAGCTCCTAGACCTAAGGCACTTACACACAGAGAACAAACGGTGCATTTTACACTGGAGCTCCCTTCTTCTTCTTCTTCTTCTTCTCGATTTTTTCTAAAAACCACAAACAAAATCATACACTCCAACCCAGCAGAACAACAACGTCGTTCCCCTCTGAAAAGCTTTAGAAAAACTAAAATTCTGATTCTTCTGTGTGTATAACTGTTGGGTTTTCAATTTTGATATCTGGATTTGAAATTGAAGTTTGGTTGTTGGTTTCCTGCTGTTGAATCTTCTGACTAGCAGCTGAACTCTCATTTCCATTTTTGACCTTTATTTGGTCGAGTTCTTCTGTTGATTTCTGCTGTTAGAGGATTTCGAAGTTCATCTTCCATTTCTGGATTTACAGCAATTAGAGGTTGCTGAGGAGTTCTTTGTTGCTGGTTTAGATTGCTTGAGTTTGCTTGTCGAATTTCCCTCTTTGTAATCCAGAAATTTTCATATATAAAAGCATTTATTTGGTTCTTGTTGCTACCATCTTCAGCTTAGACATTGTATTTGTTGCTCAAATAGTTGTCGTTCATTAGAGGTGCTTCAGTTCATGTAAGAATTGAGATGGCGCAACATCATTTGATTGCAGACATATAGAAACGGGTACTTTTTCTATCGTGCAAGTACAATATTTTCTTGTATGGAACAGAATTTGATATGATTTATAATCACTTGCTGCTATCTGCATATTTAGAATCTAAACTTCACTATTCTTATCTTATTATATGGTGCTGGTGTTCTGATTAGTTACACCATGGAGAAAGAGAATGTTGGACAACAGATCTTATTAATTTGATTCTATATTAAAGTTTTTATTTCTTATCTGACATCTTGTTTTGACAATTAATTGTATCTTTTATGTTATCGCTGGTAAAGGGAATTTGTGATTTTGCACATAAGTTCCAACTCTAATATTGTGATTGTACTGTAAAATACTAAAGGTCCGAATGAAATGCTTTAGAATTTATTTTTTCCCTCTAATACGAATATGATGTTGCATACAAAAATAAACGTAGCTTCTGAGCTTATCGGAAAAAGAATTAACTATGGCTCCAATTAGTTATTCGTTAATATTTGTATCCATAAGCCTTACTCTGCAGATATTTTGGTTTCTTGATTTCTATAAGACGGGAGATCATTATTAAAAAGACTTTATAGGATAACAGATTTTGGTTTCTTGTTTAATCTTTGCTCTAGTATGATTACCGATGTTGATTTACTCTTTAGCCATAGTATGATTACTTCTGTTATCAAGTGTTAGATGTATTCATAGCGATCAAATTCCCATTTTTTTCTACGAATAACTCCATAGTTTACGACCTTACAAACGATGTCAAATTTAGTAAAACCAATAAATCATGAACACCGTAGTTTGCTTTAGGCGCGATTAATAAACCATCGTGACTATGGGTATGGTTCCAGTGGCATAGTCAGGATACCTAATTCTCAAATTCGGGGGTGCATTTCATGTAACCCGATTATAACAACTTCGAATAATAAAACCTTTTGAAATAAATTAAGGCGTGTCATGCTAAATAAAATTCCTAAGCCCATGGCCCTCACAAAGCTAATTAGTTTTTTTTTTAGAAAATTTGAGGTGTACCATTTTCATTAAATAACTCATGACCCTCATGTAATTAATTCAAACCTTGTAATAAATTGAGGTGCGCCATCAATTGAATTTTTCATGGCTCTCTCAAACATTGTTATTAATTTGAACCTTCGTAGTTGCTTTAGGCGCATTCTTTAAATTAATTTTCTTTTAATTACTAAATTCGGGTGTACATTTCATGTGACCCAATTTCAATTCCTAACAATGCTAAATAGAACGTGTCGTGAATCGCGAGTGCATTTCATGTGGCGTAGTTCAAGGCATGTTTTAAATAACGTTGAATCTTCTTAAAAGCGGTTAATAAGCTAAAATGCACAATAGGTTTAAAACATGTAACTAATCAAATAATTAGGCCAATTATAATAGTTTAAGCGACCGTGCTAGAATCACGGTACCCGGGAATGCCTAACACCTTCTTCAGGGTTAACAGAATTCCTTACTTAGAATTTCTGGTTCGCAGACTTCAAAAGGAAAGTCGAATTTCCTCGATTTGGGATTTAAAATAAATCGGTGACTTGAGACACCAATTAAAATATTCCATGTAGCGGCTCTAAAAATAAATAAATAATCTCATTTCGAATAATGTCACTTTAATTGGAAAAATTCTCTTATATACCCTCGGGTGTGTAAAAAAGGAGGTGTAACATATATATATATATATGTATGTATGTATTTTTCCACACACACACACACACACACACACACACACATATATATATATATATATATGAAAAAATACATAAGCACCCCCTGACCTATACCCGGATTCTCAACTACACACTCTAACTTTGCGGGATTTTCATTATCCCAACTACAACTGACATGGCAGAGTATGTGTATTTCACTCTCCTTTGGGAGAGTGAGAAGCAAGAAAAAACGATTTTCAAATTTTTTTGTTGCTTTTTTACCATTTTTTCTTACTTTTTTTCCCTTTTCCTTTTTCTTTGTCTTTTTCTTTTACTTTTTTTTCGTTTCTTCTCTAATTCCGGCAGATATTCATTCTCCGGCGATTTTATCTTACCCTTTTTCTTCCATTTATTCTATTTTTATTTTTCCTCTTTCTATCCTTTTCACACACAAATTAAACTCTCAAAAAGATCTATTCATAAGCAAAGCAAAATATACTCAAATCGGGATAAAAATCTGTCGCCGGAAAAAAAAATTCGCCGGAAAAAATGGTATTCTTGAAATTCCGACGACCATCATTTTATACCGCCGGTGACCAAAACAAAAAGAAAAAAAATGAAATAACCAAAAAAAATGAGAATAATGCGAAATAAGAAAAAAGGATAAGAAAAAGAAGAAAGAATAAAAAAAATACTAAAAATACATGTGGCAGCGCGTGTACTGCACCACTTGCCAAGAGTTTGGTTGTCTAGTTTTAGGGTGGTAGTTATTCGATTTAAAAATAGTTTAGGGGGGTAATAGGATTCCGCAAAGATAAAGTGCGTAGTTGGGAATCCGGGTATAGGTCACGGGGGTACTTATGCATTTTCCCTATATATATATATTAAGATGAACTCGGTATCAAACTTGCAAATTAAAGTTTACATTTAATTTTTGGTTCGCGATGGTATTGCCGCGTTTGCGAAAGAGGAGGCCTAGGTAGCTTTGAAAAGTACTCTATTTTGAGGGTTTCGACCATTTTTGCATTTTGGGAGCTATGGAGCTCGGATTGAAGCGATTCTTGAAGCATTTTTCACCATATGAATTGGGGTAAATGTTCTCTACTCGGTTTTGGTTATATTCCATGAATCTATCTTCGATTTTAGTTTTTGGTCGATGAATTCTAAAGAGAAAATTGGGGGTTTTAGCCTAAAGTTTCATAATATGAATTTTTGAGTTTTGAACATCGATTTGGAGTCGGAATTGAGTGAAACTTATATAGTTGGATTTGTAATTAATGGATTGTCGGATTTGTGAGTTTTGTCGTTTAAAGGTGTGGGCCCAGGTGTGATTTTTTGCTGGATTTGGGATTTGATGTAGGATTCTTTTTTTCTATTATTTGTAATTGTTTCCTTGAGCTTTATCT